ACACGTGGACGGGCGCACGTTAGCTACGGCAGCGTGCGTTAGCAAGCAGTGGAACCAGACGGCACTAGATGAGCGGCTCTGGGAGCTGATCTGCACAAAGCACAACCGGAACCAACAACAGCAGCTCCGCGCCGTCGTCCTCGCTCTCGGCGGTTTCCGACGGCTCTACTCGCTTTACCTCTGGCCACTCTCAAAGCCGTCGCCGCCTCCATCGTCGTCTTCTTCGACTCCAACTTCCGCCTGGCCTTGCCTTCCTCCGCCGCCTACTCGGCCGTTGAAATACGCCGCTACGAACACTCGATGGGGAAAAGATGAAGTCAATCTCTCGCTATCGCTGTTATCGATTCGGTATTATGAGAAGATGAACTTCAAAGCTAATAAATCAACTTAATTGATAATTCAATTTCAAAATTTAACATTTTATTGTCCTAATTTTTCAGCTTATGGTTTGCTTTTATTGTGTTGCATCATTTATGCTTAGATCTATTAGATCTATTGATTTGGATCTATAACTCTTATGTATCATATGTAAGCTTTTGATATTCCAAGCAGTTAAATGTAAACTGAGCTCTGGTTAATTCAAGTCACTGATACTAATTACTATGTGCTTACCATTAATTAATCTTTGATCGTAAAGTTCGTTGTTTGGATGTGAGGAAAAAGGAAAAGAGGAGGATTAGTATGAAAATTTGTGGGCAGAAGCAAACAGATAAGAACAAAGAGGTGTCCATCCTTTCTGGCTTTAATTATGGCTTTGGGGGAAACATTGGAAAATGACGAAAGTGGGGCGTCACGTTTGAGATGATGTGTGTTGGCTCTTGGCTCTTGGGATGTACTAATGCGCATTAGTAAATTCACATGGATTTGGCTTGAGATCATATTGGAATAGGTATCATTCGGCACTTTGCCAGTTGATTTTTGGTGGGTTTTGCTGGAACCTGGAACACTGGTTTTTGGGCCTTCTGTATTTGGATCCCAAAAATTAAATAATATTTATAGCTATTTTTAAAATTTTAAACTAAAAATTTTAACTTCAGGACAATTCAAGTTGTTAAAAAAATGAACTGAAAAACTAAAATTCAGGACGCACTGACTAATTCCTAAATAGCATCCGTTTAGAATGACTACCTAATGTCATTTCTTGAATTACCTAGTCCAGAATAAGGTGATTACTTGATGTCATTCCACTTCATAATCGTGCTAGTGGGTAAAAAAAAAAAAGCCCAATGTATACGATAAAAATCAGAGGACTCGATCTTATGATCATTAGGGCGCCTCGAAGAGATCATCCCCGGAAGGTTTGAAGTTTAGCTTAGAGTTATCCCCTAAGGGTTCATAATGATCGACCTCGAGACAATGCAAAGTAACGGTTATGATGTACTAGCGGGAAGTTTCCAAGGCACATGATTAAAGGTGACCTAGCTTATTAGGTGTCACACCTCCTTTTTCTACCCCCGGAAGGGATATAAGGGAATTTTTACTAATTTAAGTGACAATCGAAACGAGATTATTTTATTTAAAATTCAGAGTCGTCACTTGGGATAATTTATGGTGTCCCAAGTTACCGATTTTAAATCCCGAATCAAGGAAAGATTGACTCTGTTTTACAGTCCACGAAACACAGAAATTCAGGTAAAGAATTCTGTTAACCCGGGAGAAGGTGTTAGGCATTCCCGGGTTCCGTGGTTTTAGCACGGTCGCTCAACTATTATTATTAGCCTATTTATCTGATTTTGAAACATTTTTGAAACCTATGTGCATTTTATTCCTTTTAAACTGCTTTTAATAATCCAATTGTTATATAACTAATCATTTGATTACACGTTGCGAATCATGTCACGGAAACCGTACCCACGATCTACAACATGTTTATTTTATTAACAAAATTAAATTGTGACTAGGTCACATAAATATACCCTCAAATTTTAAAATTGTGTATCACAACTACGTCACGAAACCGTACCCATAGCTATGACACTTTATTTAATTAACGCGCCTAAAGCAAACTACGAGAATTCAATGCGTTTTTCTACATTAGTTAAGATATTTATATGAGAGGCCATAGATTACGTGATTGGATGGCACACCTCGACTTATTTACGAAAATTTGTGCTCAACTAAAGTGAACTATGGATTTACTAGCTTAATCTATTTAAAGCTCAATTCTAAAAATTACTAGTTGTAACTTGTAAGTAGCCATTGAACAATATATTAAACATTTAATTGTTTGAAAAGAGATGGGCCAGCGACAGACCCAAATTGTTATAAAAAAACATCTTTCAGGAAAGGATAGAAACTGGGCTCGAAATTGAGCCCAGAAGAGATGACAAAGAGCAGGAGGTCCAACGACTTTGACTAGGCCAATAAAAGGCCCAACTTCGTACAACATGCCTTTGGTACCAGAAATTAGGCAGAAAGCTCAATAAACCAATTGATCACATTCAGAAAAAACAAAATAAACGTTGTAGGGGTATTCATGGTTCGGTTTGGATCGATTTTTCCTTAAAAAGAAACCAAATCAAGTAAGTCGGGTTTTCAAATATTAGAACCAAACCAAACCAATTAAGTCGGTTTTTTATCGATTTGGTTTATGTCGGTTTTTCGATTTTTTTGATTATTTGTCGGTTTTTCTTAAATATAAGACATACACTACCAAACACACATTCCGGTGACCACATTTTCAACGTAACACTATCAAATCAATTGCCCTTTGAGAAATCTATTATTTACCAAGATATATTGATGATAATTGAATCAAATAGTGATGAATAATTTAATGACTCAATTAAAAATATATTATTTTTAACATGAAATAGATTCTTACACTTAACCAAAAAAAACTACCAATTAAACTGGAATGTAAAAGTAAAGAATTGTACTAAAAGTGCAAACGATTAATATTTACTATCAAAATTTTAAAACTTTGTATGTATGTATATATATATATATATATATATGCGCGTGTGTGTGTGTGTGTAATAATAAATTTAAAATAGCTACGCCTATATTCGGTTTGGTTCGGATTTTTTTAATTGAAACCAAAACCAAACCAAGTTTGATCGGTTTTTAAATTTCAAAACCAAAACCAAACCAAACCAAAAAGTATTGTTTTTTTGGTCGGTTTGGTTCAGGTTTTCGGATTTTTATGAACACTCTTAAAACGCTGGTATTATTTGGACCCTGAAGTCGAACCCAGCACATGAGAAGAAGGTCCAGAACCCACCGAGGTGATTCCTGACCAGGCCACCCATTTAGGCCCACATTTGGCCCAATTACTACTAAAGCCAACTGACCTTAATTAAATTACTCGATGACAATCACATAAATCATGGAAATGAAATACTGACTAATTAATGACCAAAATTAATTAAATTAAGTTGTACAAATAGGATAATTATAAATAAATTTACAAAAAATCTAATAATAACCCAGCAGTCCTAAGGTCTAACTAACTATCATTGAAAGCTTCTCAAAACATTCCCATCTTCTGCGAAGGCATAATGACTCCAACCTATATAACTTGGTAATTCAAAAGAAACAACACTTGTATTTGCACAGATAGCTACAGAGCTATCTTGAAAATCTGCATCCAACATGTCATAGTTGAAAATACAAGAACAAATAGTCAGGACTATTATGGCCTTTCATGACTTTCAAAACATGAGGAAAGGACCTACTGATAACTTCTTTCAATTGCTATTTCAAAGAACTGAAACTCGAATCTACATTGACAAGCATCAATAGCCAACATTCATTCAAGACATCACAGTTAAGTCACACGGCATGTTGGCAAGCTTGAATCAAACTTTACTACCATATGAATTGCTACAAAAACTTCAGCTTAAGAATTACACAACCAGAAAAGAAAACCATCTTATGAACCAGATTCCTGCATCACTTTACTATGAAGAAAACATAATGGAACTCACATATACTCCAGAGAAAGAAAGAAAAAGAAAACAAAGGAACAGAATGACACTCAAAGATGTTCAGTCACCTATTGACCTTCAAACCATCCACATAATCTTAACATTCCAACAATTGTTCAGATTAACAAAGATGAAACCATAATAGATTTAGACTTAACACATGCTGAAATTATGATAAAGCATTGCAAGAATGTAGCATAAACAATCTAATTTTATTTATAGCTCAAATAGAGACTAACAAGATTGATAAGTGCACCTACTTGCAGAGAGAGATAGCAACGGGGAAACAAAGAGCAACCTGGACTTCAAAATTACAGCTTAAACCAACAGAATGAACAATAATAATAAAATAGTGATTCTTCTTTCTCTTCAAAGCCATAAACCCCGAATTTTGTAGCTGAAGATTTGAGCTTTAAAGAAACCTTGAACCCTTTTCTCTTTTAGTTTTTTTGGAGTTTTTAAGACTAGGATTTCAGAAAAAACCTTTCTACTGAAAATGAGAGTGAAAAAATGGAAGACCTCTTAAAATGCATCCTAATTCGTCCGTAAAGGAGTATAGAAAAGTTCCATTTATAGTTACTGAACTTTCCATGTGCCTCACAGAAGAATTATTCCCTCAAATAAACCTAAAACATCTTTTCTACCAGAATTGGGACAACTGGCAGGTTTTGATTGGTTTCAACATATGTGCTGGCCAAAATTGAGCCAGCTGCCCCAAATTCTAGAAGCTTCTTACATTAGCCTTATCTGAAAATCCTATTTCATACCCTTCCCATGACCCCTTAAGTTTTTTATTTGTTCAATTAACCACTCATAACTTTCATTTGTTTATAAATTAAAACCAACATAACAAAACCAAAATTGACACAAATCAAAGACTGAAGAGACCAAAATATTTATGCAATTTAAACTTTAAACTAACCCTAACCATAAATAATTTTAACATGAATCAGTTCTGGATTGAGGCGGAAACAAAAATCGATAAGAAACTACTACCAAAACGGCTCTCACCAAAAGACTGTTAAAACTTATTAATAGAACTATTGAGATGAAGACTAAACAGATTCTAACAGGCACAAACATAATATACTGAGATTAACCTCAACTAAAACATGTGAAATAAGCAAAGAGAACAATTATGGAAAGGGAATTTACCCAGAAAGCAGAAGGGAACCATAGAAATGAATTGGTCCAGCAGCAGGTTCAGATAGATTCCGGAGGGCCTGTCCGAATTCGACGTTCTCGTAATGACTCAAAACTATCGTCAATCGATTGCTCTTGTTGAGAGCAATCTATTAATGTAAGATTTAAGTTAGAACGAGTCAGAATTTGAGCAAAAATCAGAGAAGGAAAGGGAAATTAGGGTTTGCATTTTTTTCGTTTTCAGATCTGAAATTNGGGGGTCCAAGTTCAGACACTTTTATAGTAGGTGAGTGTTGAGTTCCTATCCGTTCGATCAAAAGAGATCAATAGATGGGATTTGAGGGCTTGGAACGGTGTCGTTTGGGCAAAGGCTGGGGATGGACCGGGTGAAAGGGAAATTGGGCCAGGCTGGACCGATTATACGTATAACAAATAGCCCAATTCAAATTAGGCCCCTTTTCCTTTTCCAATTCTTTTCTTATTTCCTTGTTTTTATTTTATTTTCTTTAATTTAATTAAAAACCTAAA